TAGATCTAGCAAAAACTTTTGACATGACGTGCAAAATTACAATTTTTTAAAATTTCAATAACTTTTTAACGGTTTAGTGAATCGATTTGTAATTTTTACAGGAGTTTTAGAATGAAATGAGGAACGTTCTTCCAAAATCTCGTAGCATTTTGACATACCTCCCAAACATCTTTAAAACCATCGAAAATGGTACCACCCATCTTTTCAAACTATTATATGGCAACCTTCTAATGTATGTTTGGTTAGTTAAATCAGTTATTAGTTATCGAAAAAACGGTCGGTTAAAGAGAAAAGGACGGCTACATGTACGTGTAGTAAAGTATTTGCATATGGCAAATTTTTTCTTTCGTACACGGAGAAAATGGAAAACGAAAATTTGCCTAAATATTAAAGCGATATTTACAAATTATCCCTTTAGCCCGTTGCTTCGTAAGGGAAAATAATAAAAATTACAATTTGGACCCGAATTTGTAAAAATATGTGGCTACACATATTTGCCACATATATTTTTGTTACGATATGATATCACTTATATATTTTTGATATTTGATATATTGATATTTTTCCCAACTCAATATTGTAACGTATAATTCAATTCTTTCTTTTGTAAATATTTCCTATTGTTATTATGTAAATATGCTTTCAAATGTATCTTCTCAAAACCTTTTGTATCTGTACCTTTCTATTATTCTCTCTACAAATTACTTTACTACTTGTACTTTCCACTAATCCCTTAACATTTTAATTTCGTTTACTAACAGCATGAGCTGTATAATTCTTATTACTTCTTAATTGCATTTTAATATTGGGTTTCTAGGTACATTGGGGCGAAATCTTTTTCTTAGTATTTCATCTAATCACTCTTTCCAAGTTTCATTCTCTTCTGATTCGATCCCTACTTTAGTTAAAATACTTCTAGCTCCACCCTTTTAATCTTCGTTAAAATTTATTTTCAAGACTACTAACACTTCCGATCTATTATTCAACTGTTCTACTTCATCCTTCAGCGATCGTTAATTAAATTTGTTAAGTTTTAATTGTGTTTTATTCAGTAATTTTACTTTTGCAAAGTGTGTTTAATTCCACCAAAAAACCTAAATTGGTGACCCCTACGAAGAACAAGTAGAGAATCTTCTGAGTGCCCGACGAAGAACAAGTAGAGAATCTTCTGAGTGCCCGACGAAGAACAAATAGTGCCCGACGGAAAAGCGAAAGTGCGATCCAGCGAAAAGCAAAGTATTATCCAACAAATAGTGACAAAACTGTGGTAGTACACGTCCAAAAAACTGTAAGTACATTTGCTGTGTATTATTTGTGTGTGCGCGAGTCGTGATTGTTTCTCGAAAATGGCTTTGCACAATTCTGTCGGGAATAGTAGCCAGACATCAACCGATTCAGAAATCGCATTGTCCGTCAACCGCGTCGCATTTCGTGTACCATCGTTCATCCCTGCAGATCCAGAGTTATGGTTTGCAATGGTGGAAAGTAGCTTTGCAAATGCGAAAGTGACTACCGACGCCACCAAGTTCAGTTGCGTCATAGAAGCCTTGGAGCCACGATACGCCTTAGAAGTTAGAGACATCATAGTCAACAAGCCTGAAAGGGACGCATACGAGATACTAAAAGCAGAGTTGGTCAAAAGGCTCAGCACGTCCCAGGAGCAGAAAACCAGACGCCTACTAGAGATGGAAGAGTTAGGGGACCGAAAGCCGTCGCAATTTCTCCGTCATCTAAAAGGACTTGCAGGCAGCACCGTTCCC